TCTTTTTAGATTAGCTCATACCAAGTTTTCGTTTAATAATTGCTTTGTATGCTCAATTTTCACAATATCTGAAAGACAAAAATAGAGATTTATAGTCTCAACCAAATATTTGATTTAAAGGATAAATGACATTTTCTAGCAATTACATTTAGTAATTCAAATACAAAACAAGGGAGAAATGAAAATAAAGTTTTGCACTTCACAGCAATTTTACATTCTTGTACGAAGTAAAGAAAGTATTGTAATTGACAAAAGTTTGGGTACCACATTTTTAACGAAAATATCTATTTGAACATCTCTCGCATTAATTTAACCCAAATATTTGCTTGACAGCCTTCCTCCTCCCCCCCCCCGAATGGATTGTAAAATAGATTTAAAATGGATTCAGAAGACGCTTTTTTCTTGATGTCTTTACGTAGGTAGTATGTATGTATCTCGTAGAAAAAAAAATTCGTCAAAAAAGATTCGTTGCAATCGGCCGCATCAAACGTATGTACCCGGCTCGGTGAGCTCAGTTTTTTTATTCCTATATGTTGCTAAATTGTGGATTTTTTGCTTTAAAAGTGATTGAATTGTAGGTTGTTCTTACATCGCGTTTAAGGTTTTTATGCCTTTGGTTAATCTCCACGCAATAGTTGTAGAATTACCAACAATTTAAAAATTTAGGTGGTTGCTAAGCCGAACTAGGCTGCCATTTGTTTACATTTAACACTCTTAGTAGAACAGTGAATTAAGTCAGTTACTGCATCTTTTCAGTGTCTTTTTGCTAAGTGGGACCAAAATAAAATTTCAGTTTTTTGCACCGAAATAGCTGTCTTCCTGTCCGCTGGCCGAATTGCTTGCTTTTGGGTAGAAATTATAATTTTAATTGTAATTTTTTTTAATGTTTTTAACTGTATTTGGTATTTTATATTTTTCTGTATTTTACAATTTTTAATGAAGACATTTTGAGTTTTCATGTAGTTTTACTTTACCACGAAGTGAGAATTAAATTAGTGAATGTGAAATTTATCTCTGATGAAATTTGAAGAAATAAGTTTAAACGAAATGCAGCAAAAAATGTGTGTAATTTAATAGGCTCTACAAAGAAGTCACGTGCTGTTCACATCAGATATATATATATTTTTTTACTTTACCTTTCGCCTATTAAGGCGGGAGATAGAAAATTTCGTTATTGTTCATTGGTCTGGAGCTGTTGGCAAATTGGTGAGGCCCCCCTTAATTAAATTTTATGCAACTGATGCTTGCCCATTCCACAAGGTTACTGACGGAATTCCCTTCCAAACTACTTTCATATGAGGCAACTTTTTTTTTTTTTTTTTTCAAATACTGTATTCAATTGTATTTATGAAGTTTTCTGCTTAACTTTCGGTGCTAAATCTCTCTGACCTTCAGCACCTCTTTCAGTTTAAACAACGCGCCTTATTGTTTTCAACACCCACTTTCATCTTTCTGGCAAGGTCCTTTTTCGCCCCCACTTGGCAATAGACACTTTGCTTCCTCGGCCAGTTTTTCTATCGGTATCCATCCTAGTTCTTCTGCCAAACTTCCCGTCATTTCTTCCGCCAAATGTATAACTGTAGCTACCATTTCGACCACCCTGGAGCTTCCATATTTCACAATTAATTCGAACAACTCTTTCAACGGACCGGTATTCTTCATTTCAACGAAATCCTACGTGTGTGATAGCAACGTCAGCACAATCAACTGTATGACTTCCGCATCCGGTTTTTTCCCATACAACCGTTTCACAATCTCCACGTTTTTCATTATAAAACCATCAGTTCTTTTCCTAGCACTTGATATTTTCCGAACAATTCCAAGTTCAGCTAAGCCCACTCTTTCACTGCCCTAAAATGCTTACCAATAAGGCGACCTTACTACCCAACTTATACGTCTGCTGTCGCGTTCATAACAGTTTCACAATCTATACGTTTCTCAATTGCCAATGACGTTAGCTCTTTCCCTAGCATCCTAGCATCTGATATTTTTCGAACAGCCTCCTACTCTAACCCAGCTCTGTTCGTTGCTGCTTAAAATGTTTTCACTTATGCGGCTTTAAACACAACAAATTTATGCATCTCACTTCCGGGTTCACTTAATAAGCACTTCCAGGTGCCTTTATACCAAATCATTGCCTGGCCTTTCGAGACGGACATTTGTCATTGCAACCTTATGTTACTCGCCCAAGAGAAAGCGGTACTCCTGACTTTATATGTTCGAAACCTTCCACTGGGCTTCCTGGCATTCTTCCCGCTTCCAGACTTGCAGAACTAAAGCTGAAAGTTGCTGTCTCTAGGCGCACTTAATTATTCACGTTGGATTCCAGTGTACGGAACCTATCTTCTTGATTGCGAAATTCTGGCTCCGTGTTGACAAGCAGGCGATTTATCGTCTTCTAGTGAAATAACTCCTACCTCAGAAGTTTTAAAATAAACCTTTTTATTAGAATTTAGCTGCTTAAATGGCTCACGTAATTACAGAAACAAAAATCGTCGCTTCTTCCAGAATCCTCTTCTTCCGGATTAACAGAACACCAAATTTACGCTAAAACATAAGTATTTTAAGTATGCAGTTCACAGTCTTATTGTAAATTTTGGCTCAAGCCCTTCGAATCACGCGGGTAAATACGGCTAGCAAAGGCTTAAGACAATTTGGGTAAATTTAGCAGACTTCGAGGTGCACACGTTAGGAAGAGGACTATGTTTGGGGCATGTTATAAATTTGGTGGCTTTAGGTCCTTCTGTTTTTTCACAAAGCAAGAAACATACATACATAAATACAGACCATACAAACAGACAGAAGACAAACAAACACAGTGAGAGATTCTTCATTATTTATAGTAGAGCTAAATATTTCAATGAAATTTAAATATTAATCGTTCTCTCATTAGTTAAGATTAATTTTGAAAACAGGCCGCGCAACCGGTATAGTGGTTATCATCGCTGACTGCCATGCCGAAGGGCCCGGGTTGCGTAATGGCAGACCGCACATTGAGTTGAACAGTGTTTAACGAATGTCGCATACATACTGCGCATGCCCAGAAAACAATTTGGCTTAATTACTATGTTGGCGCGATTTGAAAAGAAGATAAATACGGTATATGGTAGATGTACCGCCATCTGATTGTAAACAAATCTGGCGTTTAAATCTTGATAGAGTATAATGTAAATGTAAGTTAATTACTGTGTTTTTAAAATACTATTTTTGCTGTACTGCTCAAACAACTAGAAAGCTGAAATTATTGCGAAGTAATGTGAAGCAGTGTTTGCATTCAAAAATGTAAGATATAATACTTATGAAATTCTGCACATTCCTTTGGAACTGTACAAATTTTCGTTCAGAAAAAGACTGAAATTTTAGGATTATATTAGTTGAAAATTTATTCATTATACTTTTTAAGCAAAGCAAAAAACAATTCAGGATTTACCATAAGTTCCATTCGTACATATATAAACATGAGGAATATAAAGTGCTTGCAAATAACACTGAAGAAATTTTACAATTCCTTAATGCTAGTTATTAAATTCTTTGAAATGAGAAAAAAAAGCGCGAATATACGCTAACAAACTAAGCGAGAAACTCCAGTTTACACTGAATTATAACATGTAAAAAATTACATCTAAATAACGAATTATTACGAAACATATGTTAACAAAATATTAAATGCACTGTTATTGACAAATAAAATGTAAATATATTAGAAAAATAAGCAAGTGCAATTAAAATAACTAACAAGCAAAAGCCCACAACATTGCAGTTGTAAACATCACTCGAACACACTCCGACAGCCATTGGAGATCACGAATAAGCTAATGTGGGTTGCCCTAGTCGCCAATATTTCTCCCCGCGCCAAAGGTACACCATCAAGCATGCGCAGTAAGCGAAATTCGCTTAACACTGTTCAACTCAATGTGCGGTCTGCCATTACGCGCCCGGGTTCGAATCCCGGAGAAGGCACGGATGTTTGTAAATGTATAGTGTCGGTTCGGCATGGCGGCACTCTAAATATGAGGCAAGCCGAAAGTCCTCTCATGTGGTTTGGTAGAAGGGGAGAGGGTTGGGAGACCTTCGGAACCGCCCACGGGATGCTCTCTATCAAAATTAGGGGGCGGAACTCAGCTAAATCACACTGCCACCTGAATGGTGCTCAAGGCTGTTGCCAACGGCAGGCGTAGTCTAGAGCTCCTTGCCACAAGGAATTTCGTTGGCTTCGGCTGACTACGTCAGACAAGTGAGCATAAGCAACAACAATTTTGAAAATTATGTTTATCCAGAACCTCTGTATTTTGAAAACCTCGGAAACTGCTTTTCATAAAATTAGACAAGCGATATGAAAAAATAAGAACATGTTAGGTAATTTTGTTAGAAGAGAATTCACATCACATTCAAATTTACATTACATCCATTTCACATTCCGAGGCCACAGCAACGATTTTTCATTAAAAATCTTGGTACATTTTTTAAAAAACAAGAATAAATAAACAATCCTAATATTTTAATTCATATCCGTTTTCAATGTTTCAAATTATATAAAACTCGTTTGTTTTTATTTTGAATACCATTTAGGTGTTGTTTAGTACCAGCTTCATTAAAGAATACATTTTGCCGAGTTTAACCTCAAGATTCACTATTGAATGATCTGAGTTGTAAATACGAAGTGGACATAGAGTAAGACGGAGGAAAAATAGTATTTTAAAAGAACTATGAAGTTGATATTCGGATTGCGTGATTGCATTCAAGGCTATAAATGAAAAATATTTCCAGATCTGAATCTGATCCTGACCTATTTTCCTTTAAATTGTTAACTGTGCTTTTAAGTTATAGAACATAAAATCAAGTTTAAAAAAAAAAAAAAAAAATCACTGCTCTTTTCAATGCTATCGAAATATTTCATTATTCGCTAGGGGGAGTTGCGATTATTGCTTATCTGTTTTGGGGAAAAGTTCTGGAGCTCGCGATTGATTCTCTGACTATAGAACTCTCACCTTTTTGGACACCCCCACACCTTATGATTACCGTTCCCCGAAATGCGACCCCTATCGGGGTCAGTAGGTCGTAACAATGGCGCCGCACCTGTCAAACGATCTTTCCTGACCAATAACCCAGTTCGACCCCCGCCTCCATTCGTCCATTCGTCGTTTTGTCGTCCGGGAGAGTGTTTTCACGTGTGTTGGATTTCATTTCTCCAGTATGCGATGAGACCAGATCGCTGGTGTTTGCCCTTTAGAAACCCATCAGTTATGCAGGTGAAATACTTTCTTCTCGTATTGTGCGCGTGTATTGTGTCTTGCATCCGAGGCATGCCGACAAGTACGATCACGGAAACGACAGTGTATTTTTATAACGAAACAAAGGCTTTTGAAGAAAACACAACTTGGACAGAGGATACTACACCAGCAACAGGTAAATAATGCTATATTTTTATAATTATAATCTCTTTATATGTCTTTATCCTTTTCGAGTTTTGTAAGTAAACTGTAAGCCCGAATATTTTAAACAAGTTAATAATTTAATAATTCACTTTTCTAAACCATAAAGGGTAGTTTTGTAAATGACTAAATTTTTTTAGGTAGGAAAGCACAGGCAATAGAATTTAACTTCCAGCTAATTTGAAAGCTTTAAGTTTTAATTCTTCTTAATATTCCTATTTTTTGGTATTATTTGCAAATAAGGTATTCAATAATCTCAAATTAACTTATTTATTTAAAGTGCAATTAATAATTTTTATGTGCATTAAAACGTTTATACCAAGTCATGCTTGTTCATAAAATAAGTTACTAACTTAAGGTTTTAGTATTAAAAATAAATTCTCTGCGTGCATGTATATGCTTCTTTCTCGTTTTTTGCACAGCTCGAATTACGTTCGCTTATATTCTTTTCCATCTGTAGAACATGTGTACTTTATTTTCTCTAACGGCTTTTGTAACTGCATATTATTTTCTTCTATACTTTATAAATGTACTCAAAGGATTGATTTAGAGTTCCGCATTAAATTTCGTTCGAGCTCGCTCAGGGTTTTTCGTAAATTTGCTGTTGCGAGTTTATCTAACCAAAATATCTCCTCTTTTCTGTATAATCTTATGTACTGTTCAACCTCTTTTTTTTTATCTTGTCCACATATTTCTTCATCTTGTTATCATATAAAATGTTTAACACTTAGTTGACTCATTTCTTAAGACTGAACATTTAAAAGCCTCGATTGCTAGCACCTTGTATATGTTATATGGCTTTTATTATGTTGAGTAAATTTACTTCTTGTTTTGATAAGTCTGAAATAAATACTTTCTATAGCATAAACTTTATATAGTTCTGGATTTCTACAATATATTAAGTGATATTTTGTTTCTTTTTCTTACTCAAATTCTTGTATGAACACTATGATCGTGATTATATCTATTAAAATATGTACTTGTGAATGCATTGCTTAATAGATTAAATTTCCGATAAAGTTTTAAATTTGTTTTATTCAAATGTGCAAGTTCAAGTATATTTATGCTTCTCAGATCCATTTCATTTTCCTCACACATTTACATGCATGTATATTTTTTCCCCTTAACTTCTAATGTGAACAAAAATTAAACTTCATTATTTTATCAAATATAAGTCTGACTTCCATTTAATGCAAAATAATAATAATACTATATAAATAAAATAAAAACACTAGCACAATACGCGTGTGGCTAAAGTGAGTAATTCAAAATTCACACTATTATTGAACACATTAATAGTATTTTTCGACAAGTTTTAAAAGAAACGGCTAAAATTAAGAAAACACTAATTTATGCAAAATTTCTTACAAGTTTTTGCATTTAAAAAAAAAAAAAAAACCGGAAATTTCATTAAATACTAAACAAAAGTTGACTGTTGTAGAAAAATTCATAAAGGTAGTTGTTTATTAAACTTTAATGCTTTGAAAAAGATTGTTAACATAATAATTTTTGCCACACAAATAAGTGCCTCATAATACCGAATAACAATTTAAACACGAAGGTTTTTAGAGCTTGTTTACTTGTCATAGAACTACTTAATTTTACTGATCCCTACATTAAAGTTCGTTAGAATATCTTAAACATATTATTGTGCGATAGCTATTTTTGCAAGTCGTCACTCTAAATGAGTCATTAGGTAAACAAAATACGATAACGATTGCTTCTTATCACTTGTGTCTACCTTAACTTATAGACAATTCCAGCAACTGAGCTACACGCCTCTTGTTACGTTTCCAGTTCTACATTTTGTAATGCTCAGTCTATTATGTAAAAGCGAAACTCCCTGGCTAAATATTGTTCTTGGTAATCATGTTAATTTATAAACTACAGAATTATGCAGATGATATAGATAGATAAGAAAAAACAAACCATTCTTATTACTGTTTTTACCCTAAAAAAATATCTATTATCGTTACAGATATTTCTGTTTTTATAGCATTTATATACTGTGGCGTTAAATATGACACATTAAATACCTTTTCCTCGCGCATTTGAACATATTTGATCCGAAATACTGGGAACCCACAGCGGCTGTGTTCTAAAAATCACCGAATGCTGGTAGTTCGACGCGGACTCAAATCCCAGTGAACGGGCTGTATGCATGAGCGTAGTTTCCCATTTTAAACTTTTCACAAAAGCATTAGGCAGATAGCCTTGGCATACTTTGTATTAGTTTAAAATGACCCGATCCATTTCACCTTTTCAGAAATTAAATGTCCACCTTTCTTTTGAATAAGAAAACTTAAATTCATTAAAACTATTAAAGCGAAATTTACTTTTTCTTTTTTTTTTAATTAATGTGGTGTTAAATAAAGCTGTGGAGCTGGTATTAAAATTATATTAACTCTGAAATCTGCTCTTTTCCTGTATTGTCTTAATACTGGAATGCATAGTTTTATGTGATTTAGAAAGAGCTAGACAAAAAAACTGATTTTCTTGAATCACAGATTCATAGCAATACTCTATCATACTTTGCTAACAACACGGAAGGAAATTCAAAAATATGGTCAGTTAACTTAGGGGCAGTGTCCGAGGGGAGGGGGAATTACCACCCGCAGTGAACTGCATGGAGGAACCTCAGGTCTTGTTTGTGACTACAGGTAATTTGCTGCGTTCGTGCAGGTTGGCTTTGACCTCAAGGTCATACTATTCTCCAATAATTTCCGCAAAACGGTCCTTAAGAATTCGAGTTCATTATGCACGATAAAAAGACCATAGGAACAAAGTGCTAGGAAATTAATTTTTCGTCAGGAAATTACAACAAGTAATTTTGTGCCAAAAGCGTAAGGTTATTCCCCTAATATTTGATGTAAGTTTGAAAGCAGATTACTTCCTCAAAAGACAATTATTCAAAAGATATTTTTCTTCCTCCTCTCCGAGTTTGAAAGCTAAAATAAAAAATATTTCCTTTCGTATAAGCATGTAACATATATTAAAATATTAATTGGATAAAACATAATTTTTTTAAAGCTTGACCGAAAGAAAAAGAACAGATTCTTTGCTATAGAATATGCTTTAATAAATATCCAGAACGATATGCATTTAAAATTTACGCTTGAAAAATGCCACTTAACCATCTCATTTAAGGTTAAAACTGATTTTAGAACTAATTGATAAAATCGATACATTTTCTCTATTTGTCTAACACAGTCGCTATGAAGCCACTCTTCAGTTGTTGAAAAAATGAATACAAAAAATCTAATATGGCCAACATAAGACCTTCCGCCAATTCCATATTTAAGACATGGAATGAGCTATCAATTCCTGTTGATCGTTTGTCAATAAAAGTTAATTTGTTTATAAACTTCGAACCTCAATGTTTAATATAAACACTACTCATTTTTTATTACTCTTTCGTATAATGGACAATGGTAACTATACGTGTCCACGCCACATTCGTTCTCAGACTGATTTGAAATTATCGCATATATCGTATAATATATATCATCTGATCATGTAGCGCTTTGGATTTGCATAGCAGAAATTTAACAATAAAATTTTTAAAAGCCGCCTTTCTTTAGAATTCCCGATAAAGTATTGCCATACACTTTTTAAATTTTTTTCCCTCAGTTTGATATCAGTAATCTTAATAAGTTGACCAACGTTTTTATTTGCCATTTTAGCTTCATTTATTAAACATCACTTTCTCCGCACTTACCTACATAAAATTCAACAACAAAATCTTTAAAATCATCGTCTCAATAGAATTGCCAATGGAATGTTAATTGTTTCCATACATTTTTTTTTCATATTCCCTATATTGCTTCTTAAAAAAACATGCATAGCGCATCTGGTACTTACGTATTATCCCGTCGACCTGCCAAGTAGTGTGTTTTAGCGCCAATTATGGATGACTGGATGACTCATTTCCTATAGAATTCCGCAGTAACGACTGGCGATTGGTGAACATTGCCGAAATTTCCGCCAACGGTTAAAAGAGTTTCAACGTAAATAGATGCGAAAGTGAAAATAAAACAATGACCGCTGAGTCTAATAAGTTTAATTGCTTCATAACGAGAGCTCGTGTTCATCGTGAGTTTATTCTCATTGCATTTAGCATAATTTAAGAATTCATTTAATGCTTATAAATGCAATATGCTGTTCTCAGTCCCATACCTATTTTTAAAAAAAATCTGTAACGGTCGACCAAAGGCGTTTGTTAAGGTTTTAACACTCTCTCTGAGCTCCCAGTCTACCTACCTACACTCACTCCTACTAAGACTTTTTTTTTTTTTGTCTTTTTAGTTTCATTATTAATTAAGCATTGTTTTTTCGCACTTAGACATATACAATTCAATAGCCAAGATTACAAAAATTGTAAAAGCAACGTAGGAGTTATACGTTTAGATTTCGCGATCGAACGTTAAGTGCTCGCATGCAATTTTTTTTTTTTTTTTTCCCCTCTGTTCTTTCTCAGTTCATGATGCCAATGTTCAGTTTTCTTGCTAAGATGGTTTTAGAAAAAAAAACTTTGTCTTTATTATGAGCGTTTTGTGTGTTAACTTCATTTATTAAATATCACGTGTTTGGTGCTTACGCCATATCAATTGGATTCAACAGCAAAATCACAAAATATTTAAAAACGGCATATTTAGAATTTCAGAAAGACATTGGGGCTCGGGAGATAATGTTTCTTACCGTATAACGTTTCCACTGCTTGTTTTGAAATTGTTAATTTTGTTAATCAAAAATTCGTTAAAGGTTTTACAAAATATAAAATAGATAATAAAATTAATTCAAAATTCCGGCTTCCAGGTGCCCATGTTCGGAAGGACTAGGTTATTCAGAATTAGATGGCTCTAGGTATCACTGTTTTTTCACAATGCGAGTAGCATGCATACATTCATTCTGCATTATTTAATTCCCTTAAATATAGTACAGGGGGATAATATTTGATGACAATATTTTGAAAAG